CCATAGTTACCGGAATAGTTGTTTGTACCATGGTTGCTATATGGTCACCTGTGCCATAGTTACGTGGTCGTTTGTACCAAAAAAATGACCGTTTGTGCCATAGTTACATGCTCATTTGTACCATAGTTACCTAGTTAATTTTAGTAAAAAAATGGCTGTTTGTGCCAAGAAAATGGTCGCTTGTGCCAAAAAAATGGTCGTTTGTGCCAAAAAAATGGTCACATGTGCCAAAAAAATGGCCATTTTGACCGCGTTACCGACAGACAGACAGACAGACACAGGTGAATTTCGGTTTCTAGACCCTAGCCTTTCAGTCTAGGGAATATATTTTATTACCTCAACAATTTGATAATATTCGAACACGAGTTGTATCTTCTTTAAGAAATAGTTATCATCTATTTGCTGATGGTCTAAAGAAATCAAATTCAAAATACGTTAAAATAGCTGCTACTACTCTTAAAACAATAGATATCATTAATAAGTTGTGGACTGTAGTTCAATCTGTCTTACAGTTCGAAAAATGTCTTTAATACTTTAAAAGATATTATTGAAGGTACTACCAAAGAAAATCAGAATATTTATAGAAAAAACATTAATAAGAACCTTGTCGAAACAAGAGCAGAACAGTTGAATAGAATCATTAGAGAATATATATATCAACTAAATTAACAAAAGAATTAGATAAAGTAGTAAGACAAGCTATTAATGGAACATTAAAACAGATTGGAAAAACCATTGTACAAGGAATAAAGACAATGGTTGATTCACAATGTAATGGAAAAAAATCCAGCTAATATATTGAAACAATCGAATCAAAATAGACAAAATCATGCAGAAAGTCAAATTGCTAATAAATCAAGATTCAAAGAAAGAATAACAAGATCGAGCGAAAAGAGAAGATCTACAACATAATATTAGAAATCCAAAACAAATTACTGCAAGTTATTTGAGATAAGCAAAAGATAAAGATAGAGCTTTAGGTCTAACTGATATCAAAATGTTAGCAGATCGTAAAAGAAGAAAAATAACTGTTTACAATTCAGATACTGACGAAAAAGAAATAATAAATCCTTCAGAAGTAAGAAAAATACTTGCTCTTCTTAAACAATCTGCTAAAATATATTATGAAGCAGATGAAAATGGAGATATTGAACATTATTTTACTGGTAGAGGAACAGAAACATATATACAGATCAGTGGACGGATAGATTGTTTGCTAATAGCTTATCATGAATCATTAGGTAGAAAAGTAAATGAAAATATTATAGGACAAGAACGAGTATCACTACGCCGTTAGACTGCTAAACATTCAGAAAAATATGTTAGAGACGTAGATGGGAGATTGATTTGAATAGATGTAATCAGATGATAGATGGTACACCAAAGAAAAATCTTTACATCTTCAATCCTATCACTGTAATGCAGGATGGTTCTAGAAAAAGAAATAAAATATAAATTAATGCCTGAAGCTATGAAAAAATTAAGGAATGAAAATGATAAACTAGTGGTAATTATGTCTCAGCCATTTAAGGCGGGTACAATAAAGCAAACAAATAATGTACGCTTAGATGATCAGAATTTTACTGGAAATAGTGACTATGTTAATTTTCAAGTACAAATAGGTGGACAGAGATATAAACATCAACGTACGGATAATGAATCTACAACTGTCGCACATATTTTAGTGACAATACCACCAAAAGATTCTGATGCTGTTTGTCATTATAGCTCAAGAAAAATTGCTAAGACCCTTCTTGATAGTTTAAATAATGGCAAAACAGTAAAATTACTTGCAGAAAATCTTTAATAGGCATTTCAAATTAATAACCTTTAAGTTTTGGTTAAAATTTATATGTGAACAGTATTAAGATCTTTTCCATCGGTACAATGCTCCTATTATTGTTTAAATAAATCTCATTATTAGTAGCATATTCCCTTTCTCCTTATGTGTTTTCAGCAATCAATGTGTTGCCTCCTTCAGATTTTATGGATCGAATGAAATGTACTAGAATATATGCACATTCACCTTTCTGTTTTTATACAATTTGACAGTAGATCAGTACAACAGTAATAACTTGCAGGAGTGACTTTCCTCTTGTTATTTTCTTTGAATGATGACATGATCTCGGAAATACTAGCCAGGAAAGCCTAGACATCCTCAATCGTCAAAGACTGAGGGTGCTCAGTTTGACCGAAAGCTTCAGTTCTTTTTCTATCATCTTGCTTCCATAATACATCAGAAAAAAATGTTTTTTTTACCACTTACAGTGTTTGCATAATGCTAATGAACGCTATCTCATGTGAAATCAAAATCTTCAAAAAAATCTGTTTGTAAATAGAAAAATATTTTTTCAAGACTTTGATTATTTTGATTTTACATAAGATAGAGACTCCTTAGACTTGCCTGTTCATTAGAACTATGTGAACACTACAAGTGGTAAAAAAATCATATTATGGAAGCAAGACGATAGAAAAGAATTGGGGCTTCCGGTCAGCCTCAGCACCTCCGTATAATTCCTACTTTGCCTATAGATTTTTATGTATTTTGTTACAATCAAAATAATTGATGGAGACTTGACAGAAAAATATTTTATTACACTTCTAAGTATTATATCATTTCTAAAAAGTTTTGTTTGTCACAATTTACTGCAAAATCATCCATATGTTTGTGTGTACAAAGTTTCATCAAACTAATAACGAAATGTAAGTTTAAAACTAAAAAATTTTACTAATATCTATTCTCTGTTTAAAAACGCCTATTAATTGAGCTATCTCAATAACTTTCACTTATGTATTGCGCTTTTTGGTATAACAAGTTGTCTGTTATGTTTTATTATTCGTCTTTCATTATTGTACTGTTTCCTAGTCTATAATAATTTTCTGTATATTGTACCAACATATTTATGTTATATATTAATATGTTGAAATTGAGTGTTCCTTCTCTTTTCTGTATTACCCACACTTTTGATCTTGTGGATGATTTTTAGCAAATGACGGCTAGTCTCTCTCCCATACTGCTGTCTAGTTAATTTGGTACTAATAAGACAAAAAAATATGAGCAAAAGAAGATCGAATCGAAGCATTTTAATTGGTCTTGTTAGCATCGTATACTTCATGCCTCACTATAACATTGATGACGTAAACTGATCTGATAACCATTTTGTCTGACGGTACACTCAAAATTAACCGAAATTAATATCCAAAATAATCAGTAATACCTTGATCAGAATATCTTGATTGCGAACATTTGCAGAACATTTCAAGATGAAAATGTGTCCCTACGCTGTCATTAATAGTCAAAGACTAAACTTTATCTTCGATACAACAACAAAAATTTTTCGGATCGAGTATGTGTAACGAAACCTCTCAACACTTTGAAATTTTTTGTTCAGAAAGCAAGCTTTGATTCGTTCTATCATCACTATAGTGGATTTCCTCATGAAAGTAAAACAATAAAAATCAAGTGAATATGCGATAACTTACGAAAATTAGCAAATCTTGATACTATCAACATCAAATTTTTCATAAAAACCAGTATCAAGCTAATCCATCTGAAGTTCTGGGCGTCAAGAACTAGCGTGATCATCTTATTTCATGACATTTCAGTAAAGGAACTTACATCCTGAAATGCATCCAAATCGCTTGCACAGATTTGATGTAATTCTATTACAACAAAATGATTATAGTCAATCACACATTGAGCTCAATGTCATCACAGAGAATATAATGTTTGCGAAAAATATAATCATCTATATCGATAATGTCCACTGCTATCAAATAGAAATCATGCTAAAGGTATTATTCATATATGTTTGTTCTCTTTCTTTTTGTCAAGTATTTTCTCTATTGTTTTCTGTTGGGGTCTTCTTATACCGGTTTTTCTTGCTTTGATATCCTAACTTATATATTTTCCAAATGTATTGTGTTATCTTTTGATATATTCCATTTTTTTGCTTAATATTTGATGTAATATCTGGTGTGGGTGTGGGTGTGAGTATGGATTTGCCTGTCATTATAAA